AGTGATGATGTGGTTTTCTTGTTCACTATTATATGAACAAACAACATTCTACTGTTCCTCATGGTTGGGGATAGTGATAATGAGGTTTTCTTGTTCACTACTATATGAACAAACAACATTCTACTGTTCCTCATGGTGGGGGATAGTGATAATGCGGTTTTCTTGTTCACTACTTACTATATGAACAAACAACATTCTACTGTTCCTCATGTTTGGGGATAGTGATAATGTGGTTTTCTTGTTCACTACTATATAAACAAACAACATTCTATTGTTCCTCATGGTGGGGGATAGTGATGATGTGGTTTTCTTGTTCACTATTATATGAACAAACAACATTCTACTGTTCCTCATGGTTGGGGATAGTGATAATGAGGTTTTCTTGTTCACTACTATATGAACAAACAACATTCTACTGTTCCTCACGGTGGGGGATAGTGATGATGTGGTTTTCTTGTTCACTACTATATGAACAAACAACATTCTACTGTTCCTCATGGTGGAGGATAGTGATAATGTGGTTTTCTTGTTCACTACTATATGAACAAACAACATTCTACTGTTCCTCATGGTGGGGGATAGTGATAATGCGGTTTTCTTGTTCACTACTTACTATATGAACAAACAACATTCTACTGTTCCTCATGGTGGGGGATAGTGATAATGCGGTTTTCTTGTTCACTACTATATGAACAAACAACATTCTACTGTTCCCCATGGTGGGGGATAGTGATAATGCAGTTTTCTTGTTCACTACTATATGAACAAGCAACATTCTACTGTTCCCCATGGTGGGGGTTAGTGATGATGTGGTTTTCTTGTTCACTATTATATGAACAAACAACATTCTACTGTTCCTCATGGTGGGGGATAGTGATAATGAGGTTTTCTTGTTCACTACTATATGAACAAACAACATTCTACTGTTCCTCACGGTGGGGGATAGTGATGATGTGGTTTTCTTGTTCACTACTATATGAACAAACAACATTCTACTGTTCCTCATGGTGGAGGATAGTGATAATGTGGTTTTCTTGTTCACTACTATATGAACAAACAACATTCTACTGTTCCTCATGGTGGGGGATAGTGATAATGCGGTTTTCTTGTTCACTACTTACTATATGAACAAACAACATTCTACTGTTCCTCATGGTGGGGGATAGTGATAATGCGGTTTTCTTGTTCACTACTATATGAACAAACAACATTCTACTGTTCCTCATGGTGGGTGATAGTGATAATGCGGTTTTCTTGTTCACTACTATATGAACAAACAACATTCTACTGTTCCTCATGGTGGGGGATAGTGATAATGCGGTTTTCTTGTTCACTTCTATATGAACAAACAACATTCTACTGTTCCTCATGGTGGGGGATAGTGATGATGTGGTTTTCTTGTTCACTACTATATGAACAAACAACATTCTACTGTTCCTCATGGTGGGGGATAGTGATGATGTGGTTTTCTTGTTCACTACTATATGAACAAACAACATTCTACTGTTCCTCATGGTGGGGGATAATGATAATGTGGTTTTCTTGTTCCAATTAATCTTGTATGTTAGTTTCTCCTTGGGTGGTAAAAACCAAAGCAGCCATTGTGTTGACTGTCAAGGCTTGGGAGAGGACTCCACGGCAGAACCAAAGGATTCTGAAAATCGTGTTTCAATATTGTTCAGTATGTCCAGAAGAGATGTTTACATTGTTTGACAGGATTTTAATGTGCATTAGATGTGAATCAAAGCATTTGCCAGACAAATGATACTCAGTAATGGGGAAAGTATGATAATCACTGCTATACTTATTTGGAATCAGCGAGAAACATCAGATATGTAAGGCCTACCTTTAGAATACAGTACCACAAACTTTTCAAACACGTGACAATACCCTATGACGTAATTTGTAGTATTTTGTTGCCAGTCACACCGGGGAAACAATGCCCTGTGACGTCAGGGGTTATCGAGTGTGCATAAGCTCCTCCCAGTGATCTATCATCTCTACATGAAATGCCATTGAATACGCCAAGCAGTGCGGAGAGTTTTGAATATTTGTTTATATATGCGGCGGCGCATTTTATAGCAAGCGTTAGTTTACGAAAGCACTTTTATTTTTTATATATTTTTTATTTCCTTTGTCTCGTAATTCAAGTGGCTAAAATGGTTATAAATGGGAACTAATATAGATGAACAAGAAAGCAGTTTATTAGGGATATTATGTTGGCGCTGAACACATCCAAATATCGCTAGTGTTAGGGTAGGTTACCCCGAACTCTGTCCTTAGCCCTTGGATCCCCTTTACGATCAATCATCCCTTTAGGATCATTAGGGTTAGGGTAAATCTACCCGTTTAGTGGCTATTAGGGCTCCTAATATTCTTCACACAAAAACGTTGAGTAAAAAGGATGAAATGGTTTTGTGTCGAATACTTTCGCTACTGGAAACTGTCCTGGAACATTCACACAAGCCACTTTCACCGGCTACATTTTTTCAGTACTGATTCAAAAGCGAACTCACCGTTGTGTCATCACTAGCCATGCTCATGCCTCCCTCGTTCCTTACTATTATCCACATCATCCTTACAGTGTTCCCTACCATACTTTTCTGTCACAAATTCAACCCTACGAATGATTAAATACCATGTCATTCATGCATACTCGCGACTTCGACGTCTGACGTCTGACGCCTGGAGCCGTTTTCAGTTTGCACCATATCGGATCATTCCTCGCCACTTGGTATCTTGTAGATTACGGAATTGGACGAGTGTGCTGAATGTCATCGGGATAATTCGTAAGTGTCCATAGACTTAAGACACAAGACACCATGCCTACCTGTAACCTTCGTAAGTGTCCATCACCTTTTCGACCCTTTTTGTTCAGTTCCGTAACGTCGTAGGCATGACTAGGTAAATTTGCACTTTGTTTCACAGTGTGGACGTAGCTCAGTCGGTTAGCTGTCGGGCTAACAATCTGAAGGTCGCGAGTTCGCGTCTGACAGATTCTCACAAGAACTGGTTGCTTGTCTTTGAGACATGTGACCTACGACAGAGACCGTCCTCACGAGAAGATGTGGTACTGTAGTCTAAAGGTGCTCCCAGTGAGAGTATATGTCTTCATGAAAAAAAACTTGAGCACAGTTAGACATCCTAGGCACTTCAACTGTGAGTAAAGTGACTTTACGATTTGTTTTATGATTTAATCCATTAGTGAGAGGACTTTCTTCGCTATCATTACTAAATTTGAAAAGTAATCTGTGGGACATGTTGATGATAATTGTTGTTGAATGAATAATGATGTTGTTCATCATTTTCCTTATTGCAGTGATTAGCAAATTTGTGAATGGTGACATTGACAAAAAGCAATCAGTTGCTAATAAGTGGTTAAATACATGCATTCATCTTGGCTTTGGAAACAATTCTGTGACACAAATATATTTAAGCATTTCTGTTTCACTGAGAGTGAAGATTGTTGTCCTTTGAAATAAAAAGTAAAACGGAAGTTTTCTCTCAACCTAATAGCTCTAAAAAAAAGGATGATAATATTATAATTTATTTATTGTTGCCTTATCTGGAATTTATTGTTTTGCCTCATGCAGAAATGTAGTTCAAATTCAGAGCTGTAACCTCTTTTAAGAATTCTATTTCCGCATGTAAATAATCAAATTTGGACCTGACTATCTAGTGATATTTATATTATCTAGCCGTTTTGGTATGATGACACACTATAAACTAAGTCACTGAGTCAGACCACCCGTCACCCCTTATAATCAGCATATGTTGCTGGTGACCTATCCTCACCCGGATTCCCAATACAAGGGATTGTATGTAATGCAATAACCACAGTGAACAGCAATGAGAAAACTTGAAAATATTCTAAATATGTATATATAACTAATATAGGAACTGTATGACAGATCAGGAAATAACCAATAATAACATCATGGAAGCAAAACAAATGCCGTCATAAATATTGTAATATTCAGGATATGTAGAAGTTCATTTCATCCTTCAGTAAATATGGAACATCAGTTAAAAGTTAGAGAGAATGATTTGTCATTCTACCCATAGGCTTTCTAAAAACAGAATGTGATGTAAATACTACCGTATTTTCTTGAGTATAGTGCACACTTTTTTTTCCAATAAACACAGCTGTGTAGAAGGGGGTGCGCATTATACACGAATTAATGAGTTTTGATGTTTTTTCCCCCATGGAAAGACATTACCGTGAGCACGTTACACCGGAAATACCATGTAAAAAAATCCACGGTTACGGTGTAATTTTTTTTCTGCCTTTGGTATTCGATTTATTTTTTTTCTCCAAAATATTGAATCCGCTAGAGGGGGGTGCGCATTATACATGGGTGCGCACTATAATTATTGGATAGTGGCAAAAGTCTTAACAAAATGCGATTTTACTCCAAAATAATGCAATTATTTACACAGTCACATATGACACATCAAGCAAGGAAAACATCAACCAACATATTGTAATCAGTTAAAGGACACTGGCTTTGAACATGAAATGTTCATCCAGAGGCCTAAAGATTTGCATATGTCGTAGCACCTTGAGCTTGCCCTTGCTGAATTTCTGAAGATAACTTCTGCTCCCTCAGTGAAGGTCACACAGGAAATACAGTGCTCTGATTAGCTGAATGAGACATACTTTCTGGATTGATGCATGTTTGTGAATCAGTCTCATGATTATTTAGCATATTCTGCTACGTATTCATTTCATGGATATGAGGTCAATCACATGTCAAGCAGAAGTATGTCAGTGAGAAATGTACGCACTATTATAGAAATTAAAGGAATTTCAAGAGTTGTATGTACTTATTGTTGTTGTCAGTTGTAACTGAAGTTGAATGATAATTTTGAAAATACTATTGAGAAGTTGTGTTTCTTTCCAACAACTTGTTTCATATACATGAAGTAAGCATGTGTATATATTGGTTCCACTGCATTGTTGCAGCATATGTGTAGAGATGCTTGTTGTCTGTTGACAGGAGAATATACCTTTGTATGTGACCAGCACGGCTGTGGGAAGGCCTTCCTCACCTCATACAGTCTTAAAATTCATGTTCGAGTACATACAAAAGAAAAACCTTATGAGTGCGACATCACTGGCTGTGAGAAGTCTTTCAACACACTTTACAGGTACATGTAATTAAATTCCCTCTAAGTCTTAGACCATCACTGATTCACTATTTGTTACATTAAAGTAATATGAGTTTCAAATATCTTGTAATGAGAGTCTTAATTGTTTACCATATTTACCGAACAGAATTATTTTTTAACATATCCTGCATTACTCCTTAATGTATTTACTGCTTGTTTTGACAGAAAGAAGAGCTGTGTGAGGTCTTGATGAAGAAGAAGTTTTTCCAACTAGTTGTGTGGCTACTCCCATCACACAGCTCCCACATGATCATGGGGGTTATGACGTAACTGAAGAAGAGTCTACTGTTTTAAATATCAGGCGAATTGTTGTTCCAATTAGCCATTTTGAATTCATTTCGTGGTCACGATTTCTATGTCATGAGTTCTGCATCTTTGTGTTGCTTGTACCTGTATTATTGTTGTTGTACCTGTGCTACCTTATAGTTATTAAAGTGGTTTTTTTTCATGTTTCTTGCATAAATTTATCCTTGTAACCCACGTGGTTGGAATTGAGGATATAGCATACACAATCAGGTGGAACTCATTGTACTTACACTTCTGTTTCATTGCAAGTCTCTCCGCTGTTGCTCCATCTCCGGAACTCTGATGTTGATAAATGGAATACCATCTGGTCCCACCCAAACGCAATTCCTCCAGACCTGATGTTTAAAAACATGATCACGGCTGTGGACAAGGACTTCGCCAAAATGTCCCTTACTCCTTCCTTTAAGGGTCCACACTACAAGAAGGAGGATTTCCCCATCCACTCTTTAGAGGTAGCGGACGACGCTCACACCCTGGATGGTGACCTCCTCCGCATGACGGGGTCTTCCAAGTCTACTACAATCTGCATCCCTGACACTAGGTTAGCGTTCGAAGAGATGGATAGTTGACGGAGACCGGCCATAGCATCTACCTCGCGAGCAATCATCAAGGCTCTATCCGAGCCACATCCCAAATGTGTTGACCATCTGTCCACCATTTTGACCTAACAACAGCAACTGATCAATCACATTAGAACTCATCTGCGTGCTGCTCTGGAGGAACTCACAACCACACATTGCCTTGGCCATCTGGCACTCACAGAATGGGATTCTGAGTTTAAACGCAACGTACTCTGACAACAATGTTCGTCCTCCTCCCTCTTCAACTGTCATCCGTGTATACATCTACGCCAGGGATGCGACGGGTCTCAAAACCTTTGAACACGTCTCCTAATTTTGTCCTCCAAGTCTTGCCTGTCCAGGAATATCAACCAAAATGCAGTTTCCTTCAGAAATGTGGACAGAACCCCTCAGCCTTTCATGGCAAAAGTCATGAAAAAGGCAGACCATCGGGGAACTAACAACCGCGCCAGGACCGCTCCCTAGGAGGAAGTGGTGACAGCAAGGGGAAGCTGTGAAGTAAAGGATGCCGACTGGGAAGTCCCACCCCAAGTCGTTCCAGTCATCGACACACCTGTAGGTGGGACTCGGACAATATTGGAAGAATTGGGACATCCATTGGGACCAATTCAGGGGTATCACCTCCTAAATGGCCCTCCTCTGACATCAGCACCTCTGACAGACCCTACCCCCATACACATCAGCTGCTCTTAACTAATATCAACAAGCTGATAGCCATAGAGGCCATAGAGATTGTATGCTCCCCGACCATGACACCAGCACGGCAACACTCATCCTACACAGCGATTTCATGCAACGCCTTCTCCATCAGGCGTTGGATGGATTGTCGACATTTGGAAATCAGAGCTCACACCCTCATTCACTCTCCAATTCAAAGGCAGCCTTTTTCAGACCTTCTATCAGTACCATGGTCCTCCTCTCGGCCTTGGCTGTCCCAGAAGATTGTAAGATGACTAAGATCCCGGAACTCAAAGCTTTGCTGCACTCCTTCCATTTGGATCTGAACTTGGTTCTGACATTGCTGCGGGGTGCCCTCTTTGAGCCTCTTCAGATACAACCTCCCCAAGGAGATGGCCTTCCTCTTGGCTCTGGCTACAGTGACACTGGAGAGCGAACTAAATGCCCTGAACATCACATGTGTTAGATCTGAGAGTAGAGTGAATGGAGATATTCATCTTGGGGCTGTGCTAGGACTTCCTAGCCAAGAATCAGTTCCCAGGACAGCCGGATAGATCCTTCACCATCCCACCACTGTCTTCGATTGTGGGTGTTGAAGATGAGCAGGAGCTCCTTCTCTGCCCAGTGCGTGCACTGAGGTGCACGGAGACGTCATTCTACAGGCTGATGAGGGTGCTCGGCTGAATCCTCGTAGAGCCAACAACCCTCATGAGATTAGAGTGGTTGCTCCACCATGGCTGTCCACAGCAATTGCTCCATCCGGGCCATCATGGAAGGTTGCTTCTGGCGCCCACATTGTCCCTGGCAGCCACTACCTATGAGGTGTCACCTTGGAGGACGTGGAAGGCGTCCACAGCTTTGGCCCGTTGGTGTTTGCCCAGCAGTTCACCGCCTCTAGGCACCACTGACGCTCCCCAATGTCCAGAGCTGACCTTTTCGACCTCTCTGGTGCGTAACACCTCAGACTAGAAGGTTTACATGTTACCTGCATTGGCTCGGTACGCCAGTCTTAGATTTCAGCTAAAGCTATATTTCTATTACTGGACTGTTCCCTGGAAATACCTCATACCTCATACCTCATATTCTCATTTCCTTCCAACAGGAATGGTCACTCAAGGCCGGTTGTCATGAGAGACGCTTTGCCGAGATGGCATCCGTCAGAAAAAGATGCATTAAGGAGTATTGCAGGAGAAGATGAAATCTAATAAAATGTCAACATTTTTTATATTTGTATACTTATCCTGCATTACTACGTCTAAAGTGGCATATGTCTAAAGTGGTCACAGAGCTGCCTCCCCACGATGCCTCTCCAGATGTTACGATGTAGCAGTAATGTGCTTATCCGTGATGTGGGAGCTGTGTGATGGGATTAGCCACACAACTTGTTGAAACAACTTCTTCTACAGCAAGACCTCACAGAGCTCTCTTCTTTCTGTCAAGTACAAGAAGTAAATGAATTAAGGAGTAATGCAAGATAAGTATACAAATATATAAAATATATAGATTTTACTAGTTTTATCTGATTTTATTTCCATGAAAAAATTGTTTTCCAAAAGAAGTTACTTGTAATACTAGTTTTGATACTTGTGTATGTAATCCAAGAACTTGAAATATATGATCCCTATTTTCCTCTTGATAACCTTTTCCAGATACACATTTGTCTTATCATAATTGTTTTGGGTAGATAAAAAAGATTGCTGGTATATATAGTTGTACATATTTGTTTGTGTTTCAGGTTACGTGCTCACAAACGTCTTCACTCCGGGAATACTTTCAACTGTGATGAGAGTGGATGCACAAAGTACTTTACAACTTTGAGTGATCTTCGTAAACACATTCGTACACACACAGGAGAGAAACCTTATGTGTATGTCAAACTCTTGTTTTCTTAACTAATTTCCCATTGAGATTATATGCATATGTTTTTTAGTATCAATTGAAGATAAAATTATTTCCAGCCTGCTAAAGTGGAACCCTATTGGCCTGAAAATTGCTAATTTTTTAACTTATCCTGCATTTCTCCTAAATGCGTTTACTGCTGTTTTTTGACAGAAAGACGATCTGTGAGAGGTTCAGCTGCTAAAAAAAGTTGTTCCAACCACTTGACTGGTGGTACCCTCACACAGTCAACACCTGACCCGGAAGCGATGACGTCACATAAGATCACATTACTGCTTTTCTCAGTTTACACGGACGACATGTATTATGTGATTTAAGCTCTACTGATTTCCAGCATTCTTTGCTTATTTATTTCAACATTGTTTGCTCTTCTATTGTGTTGTATTTACGGGTTGTGCCTTTTATGGTACTCCCATACCTACGTATTACGTTTTCCCTCTCGTTTGTGACTCATCCGCCATTTTGAATTTATGGGGCCGCATTCTGAATTCTTTTATTTTGCCTTGGGTAGTCAATTATTCTGTTTTACCTAATGTTTTGTGTGTATTTTAAGCGTTGCTTTACACTGCCTTTGCATTATTGTTTTCTCTTATGAACTCAATTTTTCAGTTACAATATGCCTCCTGTTTCCTGTTGTGTGTTTTCCACATCAATATGACTTTGCTTAAATTACAGAATTTATGCCCTATTGTACACTTTGCAATGGGAACAAATCGGGCGGGGATCCTCACACTCTCTGCCTAGACTGTACAGGACCCTGTACATGATTATTGCAGTCCCTTGTCACTGTCAGCCTTCTCTCTACTTAAAAGTAGCCAGGAAACGTCAGACACAACGTGCTCTTAGACACCTCAGGATGTTTGACACCATGGTGGCACCTTCCCCCATCAAGATTGCCGCCCCTTTGCAGTCTCCCCCTCTGCCCTGCTGTCCCCCATGCCGACGACCTCGTCTCCACCACCGGTGATGCCCTATGGGCTTATGATTCTTCTACTGATGACATCCCTGTCTTGTACGTTGACAGTGCTCAGGGACCAGCCTTCCTTAAAGAGACTCTTCCACCTCTCCTCTGGTGCTCATGGCTCTTTCACAGCGCCAGTGTTCCTCAAAGAGACTCTTACACACAGCCTCCATGCCTCCTCTAATTACGACATTTGCCTCACCAGCCTAGATTGTCTCAAGCCTCGTCCTCTCCAACTATATCCTAATGCTGATCCAAGTCCTTTCGATCTTGTCGCCGCTCCCACAGATTCTCATACATCGTCAGGATCGTGATTATCCTTCGGATTCCTTCCAAACCAAAAGATATCTTGGAATCAACTTGCCGATGGGATGGCTGACCTCTGGCCTTGGCCTCTGGTTCCTCCTAACACCCTACACTTCCAGACCCTTTGTTAACTGTTCTCACCTCGGCACTGGATCAGGATTTTGTGGAGCTCTTCTTGACCCTGTTGTTTGGCCACATCACACCTTCACAGAACTCTGGAACACCACTTCTGGTGATTGTCTGTGTGTGGAGCTTGAACCTCATCTTCGGCTACAATGTGAGTTTCTCGAAAATTGCACAGGGTGATTTACATGTCAAATGTCAAGAACTCCTTGACAGTAAACTTCTCTGGCCGGAATTAGGTCAAGTGACCTTATGGGAGCTGTTCAGTGTATTTCTACAGATTGGTTTGAATGCTTACTTGTAAGTAATGCTGAAACCGGACGACCTGATGCCTGTTGTAGTACATCAATGTGATTGAGTCACTAACTTCAGTAGACATGCGATGCCAACATGTGCAGTAACAAGACACCACACTTTATTGTCACCTCGCTATAAGAATTGGAGCGCTTATGCAACGGCCAGATGGAATTGAACACCTTACTTTGTACAATATGATCTTTCAGATTAAGGAAATGTATATCTTCAGCCTTGGCTACTAGATACAGCGTCGTTTTTATACTTCTTCCCTCGGCCGTTCTGTTGACCCCTGATGACTACATTCCGAGTAATGTGTCACCTCTCTTCATCATCACCTCGTTATGAGAACAGGAGCGCATATACAACACTCGGGGGATGGAAGTGATCACCTTACTTCGTATGGTATGATCTTTCAGACCAAGGACTTGTATCTATTCAGCTTTATCCACTTGATACAGGGTCCATTTTATGATTGTCCCCACCACTGTTCCATCGTTCTTCGATGACTACAGGCGGAGTAACGAGGCATCTCCCTTTGTCGTTACCTCAATATTAGAACTGGAAGTTCTCTTATAACACCCACGGGATGGAACTGGTCACCTTACTTCCAACGGTGCGATCTTTCAGAACCACAATTTTACAGATATATTTAGCCTTATCTTTTGGATACAGCTTTGACTTCCCACTAACCGGTTATGTCAATGCCTCAGCAATTGGTTGAGGAGGGGGTTTATTTCGTTTACATGGAGTTTGGCATTGGTTTGCAGGTGAACACATTTTTCCATGTATCGTCAAGGCAAGATACGATCAGAGACCCCCCCTGTTAATCCATCATCACCACCGACAACCTCATGGTGGTCTGGTGCCTGCGCCATCAGGGAACAACACGCTCTCGGCTCCCTCGGTATGGAAGCTTCCTTCCGAGGTTTTTCATCTCTTGTCACCACTTGCCAGAACTCCCCTGATCCCAGACCCACAGACTTGGGCAGTGGACGCATTCATCGTCCTGTAGTAAGGGCTCAGAGTGTAAGCTTCTTCGCCTCCAGTACTCCTTCCCAGGATCCTTCAAAGATCAGGCCGACCCATAGCTTTGCTCTGGCTTTAGTAACACCTTGGTACCCAGCGAGGAGCTGATTCGTGGATCTCATGGAGATCTCTGCCATTGACCACCTCAAACTACCAGATTGGCCAAACCTGCTGATCCACCCTCAAAGTAAAGATCTCCAGATTGATCACATCTTTACACCTGGTCCATCTGCAAAGAGTTCTAAGCACCAAGGTATACTCAGCAAAGGGCGGTCCCCTTGGCACACAGACCTTCTTCAAGTGGTGCTCCTTTGAGAGTTTCTGCAAGGAGAAACAACAGGACCCCACCTCTGCATCGCCCCAGTTCTTTGCTGAATTCCTCCTGTGCACCACAAGTGCGCCTGAAGACAGCACAATCACGACCCTTAACTCCGCCTGGGCGTCCTGGAAGATTGAAAAATGGCCAAGATTCAGGAACTCCAGGTGCTTTTACCAGAAGACCAAGTTTTCAGCTCCGCCCGGCGTGGGACCTGAGCATTGTGCTTACCCTGCTGAGAGCCACGCACTTTGAGCCACTCTACTCAGCATCTTACTACAACCTCAACAAGAAGACGGTCTTCATCTTGGCACTGGGGGCGGTCGGATAGCCTAGTGGTTAAAGCGTTCGCTCGTCACGCTGAAGACCACGGGTTCGATTCCCGACATGGGTACAATGTGTGAAGCCCATTTCTGGTGTCCCCCGCCGTGATATTGCTGGAATATTGCTAAAAGCGGCGTAAAACCAAACTCACTCACTCACTCTTGGCACTGACTACAACAACACGGGTGAGCGAGCTACATGCTCTGGACATCTCCCCATGTTAGATTTGAGCACAGAGCACATCGAGCCGTTCATCTGGGGCTTTGCTGGGACTTCATAGTCAAGAATCAACTCCCAGGACAGCTGGACAGATGCTTAAACTTCCTGCCCCTCTCTTTGATAATGGGGGTTGAAGATGTAAGGTACTTCTCCTATGTCAAGGCTCCAAGGATCGTTGAAGCCAACACCACCGCCTTTTCATCCCAGTATCTAGGATATCGCAGGTGGAAGACAGCCGCCACACGATCGCCCTATGGCTTTGGCCATATTCTTCTTGCTTATGAGGCTGCTGGACTGGACCCACCTAGAGCCAGGAACCCAGACAAGATAGGGGCGATCGCCTCTACCCCGGAGCTTCACAGCAACTACTCCATCCGGACCATTATGGAGGGCTGCTTCTGTTGCTCAGACACTGTCCTCTCCAGCCACTTCCTGCAAATTGTCGCTTTGGTTCTTCGGTGGTTGCCCAGCAGGTCTCCACTCTTAGGTGCCTTTGAGTCTTCCTCATGTCCAGAGCCGACCTTTCGAACTTTCCCCTGACTAGAAGGTTGCATGCTGCACGCATTGACTTGGTAGTCAGTTCTAGTTCCTCAACTAAAACTGGTGCCTGTTGAGAATTTGTCAGATCTAAAGGTATGCCCACCTGACGTACTGTCTGATAAAGATGCTTAGGAGTAATGCAGGATAAGTTAAAAAAATTAGTAAAATCTAAATGTTTTTTACATTTGTATACTTATCCTGCATTACTGCGTCTAAAGTGCCCTCCCTTTACTGCGCTACCTCCCCATGAAGTTTCAGATGTTGTTTTTGAAGCAGTAATGTGCTCTGTGTGATGTCATCGTTTCTTGGTCACGTGCTAACTTTGTGAGGGTACTGCCACACAACTGGTTGGAACAACTTTTTTTCAGCAACTGGACCTCTCACAGGTCGCCTTCCTGTAAAAATACCAGCAGTAACTGCATTAAGGAGTAATGCAGGATAAGTATACAAATCTAAAAAAATATCTAGATTTTACTAAATTTGATCTTCCTGACAATTAATGCTTGGAAAAGTTTAAGACCTTACTCTACAATGTTTGTTTGTTTGTTGTTTAACCCCACACTCAGCAATGTAATGAGCATCAATCCACACAAATCGGATATGATGACATGCATCAACCAAGTCAGCTTGCCTCACCACTGGATCCCGTTAGTCACCTTTCACAACAGGCATAGTCGCCTTTTACGGCACACATGGGTTGCTGAAGACATATTCCACCCCTGATTTTCACTGGGCTACTTTTCCATAATGTACATGATATGCGGAACATGTGGGTTTTTGGAACTTTGCAATTATTAAAACAAAATATTTAGATCACTGAAGTTTCACTTTAGCAGGTGTGAAGGTATTTTTTTCT